CCTCACCCACTCGCCATCATTGTCAGTGTCCTCATCCCACCCCCTCATCATTGTCACAGTGTCCTCACCCACTCGCCATCATTGTCAGTGTCCTCATCCCACCCCCTCATCATTGTCACAGTGTCCTCACCCACTCGCCATCATTGTCAGTGTCCTCATCCCACCCCCTCATCATTGTCACAGTGTCCTCACCCACTCGCCATCATTGTCAGTGTCCTCATCCCACCCCCTCATCATTGTCACAGTGTCCTCACCCACTCGCCATCATTGTCAGTGTCCTCATCCCACCCCCTCATCATTGTCACAGTGTCCTCACCCACTCGCCATCATTGTCAGTGTCCTCATCCCACCCCCTCATCATTGTCACAGTGTCCTCACCCACTCGCCATCATTGTCAGTGTCCTCATCCCACCCCCTCATCATTGTCACAGTGTCCTCACCCACTCGCCATCATTGTCAGTGTCCTCATCCCACCCCCTCATCATTGTCACAGTGTCCTCACCCACTCGCCATCATTGTCAGTGTCCTCATCCCACCCCCTCATCATTGTCACAGTGTCCTCACCCACTCGCCATCATTGTCAGTGTCCTCATCCCACCCCCTCATCATTGTCACAGTGTCCTCACCCACTCGCCATCATTGTCAGTGTCCTCATCCCACCCCCTCATCATTGTCACAGTGTCCTCACCCACTCGCCATCATTGTCAGTGTCCTCATCCCACCCCCTCATCATTGTCACAGTGTCCTCACCCACTCGCCATCATTGTCAGTGTCCTCATCCCACCCCCTCATCATTGTCACAGTGTCCTCACCCACTCGCCATCATTGTCAGTGTCCTCATCCCACCCCCTCATCATTGTCACAGTGTCCTCACCCACTCGCCATCATTGTCAGTGTCCTCATCCCACCCCCTCATCATTGTCACAGTGTCCTCACCCACTCGCCATCATTGTCAGTGTCCTCATCCCACCCCCTCATCATTGTCACAGTGTCCTCACCCACTCGCCATCATTGTCAGTGTCCTCATCCCACCCCCTCATCATTGTCACAGTGTCCTCACCCACTCGCCATCATTGTCAGTGTCCTCATCCCACCCCCTCATCATTGTCACAGTGTCCTCACCCACTCGCCATCATTGTCAGTGTCCTCATCCCACCCCCTCATCATTGTCACAGTGTCCTCACCCACTCGCCATCATTGTCAGTGTCCTCATCCCACCCCCTCATCATTGTCACAGTGTCCTCACCCACTCGCCATCATTGTCAGTGTCCTCATCCCACCCCCTCATCATTGTCACAGTGTCCTCACCCACTCGCCATCATTGTCAGTGTCCTCATCCCACCCCCTCATCATTGTCACAGTGTCCTCACCCACTCGCCATCATTGTCAGTGTCCTCATCCCACCCCCTCATCATTGTCACAGTGTCCTCACCCACTCGCCATCATTGTCAGTGTCCTCATCCCACCCCCTCATCATTGTCACAGTGTCCTCACCCACTCGCCATCATTGTCAGTGTCCTCATCCCACCCCCTCATCATTGTCACAGTGTCCTCACCCACTCGCCATCATTGTCAGTGTCCTCATCCCACCCCCTCATCATTGTCACAGTGTCCTCACCCACTCGCCATCATTGTCAGTGTCCTCATCCCACCCCCTCATCATTGTCACAGTGTCCTCACCCACTCGCCATCATTGTCAGTGTCCTCATCCCACCCCCTCATCATTGTCACAGTGTCCTCACCCACTCGCCATCATTGTCAGTGTCCTCATCCCACCCCCTCATCATTGTCACAGTGTCCTCACCCACTCGCCATCATTGTCAGTGTCCTCATCCCACCCCCTCATCATTGTCACAGTGTCCTCACCCACTCGCCATCATTGTCAGTGTCCTCATCCCACCCCCTCATCATTGTCACAGTGTCCTCACCCACTCGCCATCATTGTCAGTGTCCTCATCCCACCCCCTCATCATTGTCACAGTGTCCTCACCCACTCGCCATCATTGTCAGTGTCCTCATCCCACCCCCTCATCATTGTCACAGTGTCCTCACCCACTCGCCATCATTGTCAGTGTCCTCATCCCACCCCCTCATCATTGTCACAGTGTCCTCACCCACTCGCCATCATTGTCAGTGTCCTCATCCCACCCCCTCATCATTGTCACAGTGTCCTCACCCACTCGCCATCATTGTCAGTGTCCTCATCCCACCCCCTCATCATTGTCACAGTGTCCTCACCCACTCGCCATCATTGTCAGTGTCCTCATCCCACCCCCTCATCATTGTCACAGTGTCCTCACCCACTCGCCATCATTGTCAGTGTCCTCATCCCACCCCCTCATCATTGTCACAGTGTCCTCACCCACTCGCCATCATTGTCAGTGTCCTCATCCCACCCCCTCATCATTGTCACAGTGTCCTCACCCACTCGCCATCATTGTCAGTGTCCTCATCCCACCCCCTCATCATTGTCACAGTGTCCTCACCCACTCGCCATCATTGTCAGTGTCCTCATCCCACCCCCTCATCATTGTCACAGTGTCCTCACCCCACTCACCACCATTGTCACAGTGTCCTCACCCACTCACCATCATTGTCAGTGTCCTCATCCCACCCACTCATCATTGTCACAGTGTCCTCACCCCACTCATCATTGTCACAGTGTCCTCACCCACTCGCCATCATTGTCAGTGTCCTCATCCCACCCCCTCATCATTGTCACAGTGTCCTCACCCACTCGCCATCATTGTCAGTGTCCTCATCCCACCCCCTCATCATTGTCACAGTGTCCTCACCCACTCGCCATCATTGTCAGTGTCCTCATCCCACCCCCTCATCATTGTCACAGTGTCCTCACCCACTCGCCATCATTGTCAGTGTCCTCATCCCACCCCCTCATCATTGTCACAGTGTCCTCACCCACTCGCCATCATTGTCAGTGTCCTCATCCCACCCCCTCATCATTGTCACAGTGTCCTCACCCACTCGCCATCATTGTCAGTGTCCTCATCCCACCCCCTCATCATTGTCACAGTGTCCTCACCCACTCGCCATCATTGTCAGTGTCCTCATCCCACCCCCTCATCATTGTCACAGTGTCCTCACCCACTCGCCATCATTGTCAGTGTCCTCATCCCACCCCCTCATCATTGTCACAGTGTCCTCACCCACTCGCCATCATTGTCAGTGTCCTCATCCCACCCCCTCATCATTGTCACAGTGTCCTCACCCACTCGCCATCATTGTCAGTGTCCTCATCCCACCCCCTCATCATTGTCACAGTGTCCTCACCCACTCGCCATCATTGTCAGTGTCCTCATCCCACCCCCTCATCATTGTCACAGTGTCCTCACCCACTCGCCATCATTGTCAGTGTCCTCATCCCACCCCCTCATCATTGTCACAGTGTCCTCACCCACTCGCCATCATTGTCAGTGTCCTCATCCCACCCCCTCATCATTGTCACAGTGTCCTCACCCACTCGCCATCATTGTCAGTGTCCTCATCCCACCCCCTCATCATTGTCACAGTGTCCTCACCCACTCGCCATCATTGTCAGTGTCCTCATCCCACCCCCTCATCATTGTCACAGTGTCCTCACCCACTCGCCATCATTGTCAGTGTCCTCATCCCACCCCCTCATCATTGTCACAGTGTCCTCACCCACTCGCCATCATTGTCAGTGTCCTCATCCCACCCCCTCATCATTGTCACAGTGTCCTCACCCACTCGCCATCATTGTCAGTGTCCTCATCCCACCCCCTCATCATTGTCACAGTGTCCTCACCCACTCGCCATCATTGTCAGTGTCCTCATCCCACCCCCTCATCATTGTCACAGTGTCCTCACCCACTCGCCATCATTGTCAGTGTCCTCATCCCACCCCCTCATCATTGTCACAGTGTCCTCACCCACTCGCCATCATTGTCAGTGTCCTCATCCCACCCCCTCATCATTGTCACAGTGTCCTCACCCACTCGCCATCATTGTCAGTGTCCTCATCCCACCCCCTCATCATTGTCACAGTGTCCTCACCCACTCGCCATCATTGTCAGTGTCCTCATCCCACCCCCTCATCATTGTCACAGTGTCCTCACCCACTCGCCATCATTGTCAGTGTCCTCATCCCACCCCCTCATCATTGTCACAGTGTCCCCACCCCCCCCCCCATCACTGTCCCAGTGTCCTCACCCCCCTCCCCACCATTGTCACAGTGTCCTCACCCACTCACCACCGTTGGTTGTTCTTTCACAGGTAGGTTCACTCCATTCCCCGTTTCTGTTCTGGTCAAGAAGAAACCCTTGAACTTGAATGCAGTAAGTTGTCCTCGCTTCCAGGTCTCTGAGGACCTCAGAGTTATACGGAGAAGTGACTTCAAACTGTAAGGGAGACACACACAGCAGTAAGGGGACACCATCTTGATGGGGGACGTCCTTCTGTATATATGCTTCTCTTATTGGTTGATGAATAAAACACCGTTTGGCCAATAAAGCAGGAAGATAGGTGGGACTCGGAGACGAGGAGAATTCTGGGAAAGGTAGGCAGAGAGAGACTACAGGGAGATGCCAAGTAGAGACCAGGGAGATAGGATTATGTCAGGTGTTCTCTGGTAAGATAAGGTCATGTAGAAATACATAGATTAGTAGTTATGGGTTAATAATCAGGACAGACCCAGCCAATAAGAAACCCTAGCCATTGGCCAACAGTTTTATAATTAATGCAGCATCACCGTGCCTATTTGGGGCTGAAGTCCTGGGATCTTGCGGGTCAAGAACAACTTCAGTAACACCATCTTGTTTTTATTTTCCTTTCCCACACGCTATAAACTCTGCTTCAACTTATCAGAAAGAGCCACCGACTGGAGCTCCTTCCAGCTCCTGACACACATTGTATCCTACGGAATGTGACGCGACCAACTGTGAGGCCAGCAAGCCATCTCATTGTCTCAATTCTTTAGCATAGGTGGCGTCTAAACCATCACACTTCCCTTAAAACACATTCTGTAGCCAGTGAAGGCAACAGAGTTCCTTTCCTTTCCTCACGGGGCCCAGGGTGCAATGCCGGCAAGCAGCAGTCTCCTTAGGAGTGTTACAACCTGCTGCCTGCACAGGTTGCTCTAGGGGACCTTGGAGACTCATTAACCTAGTTATCTTGTTATCCCCACTCTAGACTCCAGACAGGTATGTGAAATGCCCGCGGATGTGACAGTGTGTACCGGCTACGATTCACACCCACCAGGTCATCACACAATCCGCAGGAGAAGACACACGTGGCTGAGACTCTCTGTAGGACCAAGTCCCCAGTTACACATCTCAAAAAGGCAGGGCTTTGCCAAGCTGAATGCAGAGAAACTGCAGAGAAGCAGCTCATCCTGATGGCTACTGGTTAAACACTCGCTAATCGTGGTCCCCTGGACAAGTGGTGAGCTGTGCCCTCCTGAGGGTTTCCATGGTGCTGATCACTAACATATTCAGTTAAAATAAAATAAACAGTTTTAAATGGGTTGAACCACATCCCATAAAACTGTAAATGTGACCTTATTTGGATGTAGACGTTTTTAAAATTTAAATTTATTGCTGGGCATGGTGGTGCATGCCTTTAATCCCAACTCATCATCATCACACACACACACACACACACACACACACCACAAGCGCCAAGTGATTGCCAGCAAGCCTGCAGGAGTTGGGGGAGAGGTATGGAGCGAATCCCACATCTTCAGGAGAGTGGCTGTGAAGACATGTCGATCGCCAACTCTCAGGCTCCAGAAATGTTAGACAATACATTTCTGTGGTTGATGCGACTAACTTAGCTGGCTAGCAGGAGTCATGTACGGGGAGACTCTGTGTGCTTCCCACCCTGTCCCCGGGTTCACAGCATGCTTGTGATCCATGCTGTTTGGGTTCCCCCACGTATGTGCCTGGTGGGCTCCGACTCCCAGGCCCTTGTCTTCAGATTCCTGCCTTCTTCCCTGGTGGCTGGAGTCCTTGACTAACGCTGATTGAATTCAAATATAAGAACATCATAATTAATGACATGCTTCTGAGTGTGAGGGACCAGGACAGTTCCTCAGCAAAATAAAGGGGAAATAAAAGAGTTCACTAAGGGAGCTAGATGCTTCTTTCTTTCCCTAATTTGGTTCCTTCCCCTTGGGGGTGGGGCTGTTGCCAGCTTGTCAGCATGGGTCGCAGGAACTGGGTGACATGTATTGAATTCAAGAAGAGACTGAACACAACTCCCCCCACATAAACAAAGCACCACCAACAATGAAAGACTCAAAAGAAAACAAAGCAGATGCTGGATTTAATTCTATGTTCAGTGCCCCTAAACCTTGCCATGTGATTTTGAAGAATGGGCGGGCACCGGAAGGTGAAGGGCCCTTCTCAAATCTCCTTTGGGGCTTTCTCTTGTTATTTCTGGGCTATTCTGTTTCCATCCTCCCTTCCCCATCAAGACAACAAAACCTCCAAAAGCCCTTCATTATCATTTCAGGGAACTGATCTGGCAGCATCCAAGGGAGGTTGTTACACATGGCATGAGGCGGGAAGGAGGGAGCAGGTGGCCTTTCTAGCATTCTCACAGCAAGTGAACCTGGTGGAGGGACATGTAGCCACATGCCAGTACTGTGGGCGTATTCTAGATAAGCAGATTATGAGGGGTTTTGCATGTCATACTTGGTGAGGAAGGCACTCAGCCACGGTGACTAAGGAACTAGAAGACGCTGATGACCCCTGGAGTGTAGTGAATGGGACTTTGGGTGGCAGAGCTTAGCAGAGATATTACACGTGTGATCATGAAGCTAGATGTTCTGTAGACATGCACTTCCTGGAGCCCTGACTGTGAGCAAACCATCTCTTGCAAAGGCAGACGTCCCACATGCTATGCTTTAAACACCATATTAAAAGGGAAGGTTAGGCTGCTGCGATGGCTCAGTGGGTAAAGATGTCTGTCACCAAGCCTGATGACCAGAGTTCACCTGGGACCTACATAATGTAAGGAGAAGATTTTTTGGATGAAAAATTAACTGGAGATTTGTGTTTGGCTCTGTGTGTGTGTGTGTGTAATTATATCATCCTAAGACTCTCAGAGTCTTGGGAAGAAACTGATGACTATTTAATGTAATTAATTTATACAGCAGTATGTCAGTTTACAACCATGACTGGTATTTAGCTCAGAAGCAGTAAGTTTGACCAAAAATGAATAAATATGTCTACATAAAAAGAAGAGAGCCTCCCACTGTCGCAGATAATGGGAGAAGTCTGCCTTTTGTCAGCAAATCCCACCACAGTTCTACCAACTGGACTTTTCTTCCTGTGTTTTGGGTGAAGTGGGCTATTGTGCCCATTCTTAGGTCTCAGGAAGCTGTGTCCATGGCTGTGACCAGAGCAACATGGTGACGGAGGCAATATTCTCACCAGACTTTTGGGCTTCAACCTTTATTTGGAAAGAATTGTGCCCTGAGCTGTGAAATGACTCAGCCTGTGAAGCCCTGAAGACTTGATCTCCAGGACTGTGGCGTGTCCCTCAGCATAAAGAAATATATGTAATAAAGTTTCTTTTAAAAGAATGTTCCCTAAATAAGAGAGCAACAGGGAAGACAGACAGGAAGGGTTAAAAATGACACTTGTTAAACATCCCAGGAGTTGGGAGGTGCCCTAGGTTTGGGTCTGAGTGTGTTTACATCTTGTCAGCTGCCTCCAGCTTTCCCCAGCCACAGGCTGACTATGCCCTGTTTCTCCTGCAACTTCCTCTCAAGGGCAGCGAAGTCTGTGGTCTGCCTGAGAGTCTGCCCCTTGACGCATGCAAGTCCAGAAGCTTTTGGCTTGTGAAGGACCAGGCTTTAGACTCTCTGGACACTGGGTGCTGCCACTTTGCAAGACTCTACCTGGTCACGTGTGCATGCATAGATGTGAACACACACCAATAGTGTGTGTGTGTGTGAGAGAGAGAGAGAGAGAGTGTGTGTATGTGTGTGTGTGTGTATGTGTGTGTGTGTGTGTGTGTATGCCTCTGTGTGTGTATGTGTGTATTTGTGTGTGTGTGTGTGTGTATGCCTGTGTGTGTATGTGTGTATTTGTGTGTGTGTGTGTGGTGTGTGTTGTGGGTGTGGGTGTGTGTGTGTGTGTGTGTGTGTGTGGATGTGTGTGTGTGTCTGTGTGTGTGTGGTGTGTGTGTGTATGTGTGTATTTGTGTGTGTGGTGTGTGTGTGTGTGTATGTGTGTGTGTGTGTGTGTGTGTGTGTGTGTGTGTGTGTGTGGTGTGTGTAAGCCAGAGGTTGGCATCAGGTGTCCTCCTCTGTCACTGCTCACCCTATTTTTGTGGCAGGACGTCTCCCTGAATCTGGAGCTCACCCACGGACTAAGCCAGCAGCCAGTGAGTTCCCAGGATTCTCCTGTCTTCACCTTTTAGCACTGTGGTTACAGTTGCACACTGTCATGCCTGGCTTTTCACTTGGGCATTGAGGAATCCAAACTCTGGCCTTTTTGTTTGCACAGCCAACATTTTACCCACAGAGTGGTCACCCCAGCCCCTGGATGCCCTTTCCTGTTACCATGGCCACCAACCATCTGAAATGCACATGACGGCCAAGCTTACCTTCTTATCAGTCCCATTTTTCCAATATTGCACCCTATAAGTCCATGAATTGTAAATGTTCTTCATGGTCCACGTCTCAGGTTCACTCTCAATTTTGGGGGCTGAGAAACGCAAGTGCAGAGAGTCGGCGAGAGGCTCTATCTGCATCCCAGGAGGTCCAATAACAGCTATGCATAAGGACACAATAGAATGACAATCAAAGGTCACGCTCTAAGCACCTCACTTGAACATTAATTCCTCATATATATGTGCAACCATCTCCTGGAGCGTAACTCTCAATCTTGACACACCACTGTTACAACACTGGGTGCTGCCGAAGAAGATGGATGGATTTCTTTGCCTACTTAAAAAGATGTGATAACCTTTGTCTTTATTAATCAAATTTAATCCATTTATGTTCACAGTGATGTCTAATATATTTAGGACTATTTCAACTATATTGTTTTGTATTATTTGTAAAAATGGCTTTGGGGGGTACATAGCTCACATTAAATCAGACGTGTGTTCTTCCTACTTAAGCCTTGTCAGTTCTGTTGTTACAGACACGTACCGCCATGTTTGACAAGAAGTCTATTTTTAATTTTTTTTTTTTTCGAGCCAGGGTTTCTCTATGGCTTTGGAGGCTGTCCTGGAGCTCACTCTGTAAACCAGCCTGGTCTCAAACTCACAGAGATCCGCCTGCTTCTGCCTCCCAAGTGCTGGGATTAAAGGCGTGCGCCACCATCGCCCGGCTAAAATTTTTAATTTTATTAGCTTCTTCTCTTTCTTTTTGTTTTCTGTCTTCTACTGGCTTGAATTTTCTTTTTCTTTTTTTTTTTTTCTGGCCTTAAAGCTACAGATGATATTTCTATTATCTGTAGAGATTACTCATACATTTTTTCATCTATAACTCTGTAACTATACATATTTTACAACTTTTCTTTTACTAGCTATTCATGTAGCTTGGCTCTTCTGGGTCTCCATTCAAACTTCACTCCTCGGGGAGCCTGCATATTGTGCTCTATGGACAAGAGCGGCATCTCTTTCTTCCTGTTGACTTTCCATTTTGAGAGCCATAGTCACTTTACATCATAAACTATCTACATGCTGGGTTACTGTCACTCTTCCTATGAGTCTGTTATACTCTACAAGGACAAAGCTTTGTTTGTTGTTGTAGCTCCAACACTAAGAACATGCCTAGTACACAGTAGGTGTTCAGTGGTTTGGCTTATGGTTCGAACCAGACTGACACTAGACAGAGGCTGAACTTTGCCCTCTGAATTGTAGTCGCCCTCAAGCTAAGGACCTGTGGTTTGATTTCCTTTTCCAAAGCAGGCAGAGGGCCACCACTTCCCCTTCAGTCCTGGGATCAGGAGGGAGATAAAGCAGTCTCTACTGCGTGCTGTGTTGGTGAGCTAGGGTGTGGTAGGCTAGACCTGTCAAGTGCATACTTGATTTATGGCATCTTCAGTTTATGATGAGTTTACAGGAACATAACAGCACTGAATAGAGTTTGGTTTTGGAGCCTGGAGACCAGTGAACTGTTTTTTTTTTTTTTTTTTTC